TTTTCTGATGCAAACTGGCATAAAGGAGTGTTTGGGAGTCAGGGATACAGTACTTTATTTGCCAGTCACCCTTTAACTGCCTCATGGTGCCACATCTGGCACAAAGCAAAACCTTTTGAATTTTAGCTGAATGAGGTGGGATGGTAGAGAGCAAGTCAAGCAAGATCTTACCTAGCTTCTCTCCAAGGCCTCGCAAGGATCTGTTTCCAGCTTTGTATTTCAGTAGCTGTGTAACTTTGGAGTAAACCGTTTTACGAGATAATCGGGGAATAAATGTGTTTTGCCTCTTGGGTTGGCTTTGGATGATAAGAAAAAGGGTAAGGAGGGAACCAGGCTTATAGACACAGGTCTGTGACTACCCCACTTCTTATAAAACCCAATGTTTCTATCTTAGATTTTATGTATCACCGCACTCCCCAGTTGCCTGATGGCGTGTTCTTTTTTCGCTTGCCTGTTTCCTTTACTCAGTGATGCTGTAATTCACAGTGTCTGGCAGTTCACTTGGATTCCCCCAGCAAGCCTAGGCTAGGCAAAGCACGCACTAATGCCAAGGGCTACAGCTTAGCATTGCTGGTTGGAAGGTACTGTGGCTGATTCCTTTCAGATGCTTTTCTCTAGGAGGGTCACCACCCAAGCATGCAAGCCAGATGCTCTTTTATTGTTTGAAGACATCTACTAGATAGGGAAGGACGTCCCCCCACAGCCCCCAACATTTATGTTCTTTTTATTTTGCCATCTTCCTTAAACATGGAAAATGTGTGACTTCTCTCTTAAGCTAAACTTATTCTTACTGCAACTTGGAGGCCTTTCCCTTTGTTGATTTGTCTGTTGAAAGGCCAAGCCTTAAATCAGAATTCCCATAATAGTTCTTAGACTGATTTAAAGTAGTTATTAAGAATTTTTCATTTCAACTATCTTTACTAGTTATGCTTCCTTTCAAAGGACCTATTTTATATCCTTTACCATGTATCCATTTTCTAGATATTTACCCATTCCTCTACCTTGTTTTAAAATGTGAGCTCTACTGTAAAGAATGTAATGAGAAGCCTATGATGATTGAACTTGAAAACTGAAAAACTTTGGCAAAAAAAAGGAAAACCTTGGTCTCACTTAATAACTGATCAAAATAGGCATATAATTATTATGAGGTTATTATTATGACTTTAAAATTCGCCTAATCTTACCTAGAATACATGGTCTAGATTTATGTTGTTTTCAAGATATTTCTTTTTTTTTGTAATTTTATTTTTTATTGCAGTGTAGTTGATTTACAATGTTAGTTTCAGGTGTACAGCAAAGCAATTCAGTTCTACATGTATATAATACATATTTTTCACCATTGTATGTTATTACAAGAAACTTGAGTATAGTTCTCTGTTCTCTACAGTAGGTCCTTGTTGTTTATCTATTTTATATATAGTAATGTGTACCTCTTAATCCCAAACTCCTAATGTATCCCTCCCTGACCCTTTCTCTTTTGGTAACCATAGTATTTCTTTTAAAAAAGACATTCCATGTTCTTTTTCAGCTCCTTTTCACCCTCTCAGGATCTCATCAACCTGTACCTCACTGTATTTAATTTCTATGACAGAAGTATGGTCAGGATGGGTATAGTTTGAAAGCACCTCAGAGACAGGCAGTTGTGCTTTTTATTCTAAGACAAATCTGCTGTGAGAATTTGGACTGTTCATGTGGCTTTTGTGGGCCTGTTTTTACCTTTATAATAGGATCTCCAAGATTTCATTCAGTCTGACTCAGTTTAATGGTTTGACAATTCTCTATGACAGAAAGAATACGGTAAAGTATAATAAGGTGCTCAAATATCCTCTTTTAAATTGGGTATGAAGAAGACATAGGTCCAGATAGAACATTCGAGCCTGAAATTTAAGCTGTGAAGTAGTATTTAGTTGTTAAGTCTCCATCAGCCTAGATTTCTTTGCCGATCACTTGAAACCTTATTTTGAGCTTTTGTCTCATACATTATGACTTTAAAGGTAGAAAAGATCTTGGTGGCAATTCTTTCTAGTTAACAGGTGTTAAATGTTTTTTTCAGGGCAGTGTTTGGCCAAATGAAGGCCAGTGAGTTTCTCAATCCTGGACGCGTGTTGGAATTATCTGGGTTTTAAAGGAATACGGGCATCTGAGCCTTCTTCCCCATTCCCTTTCCTCATCCCCAAGATGCTAAATGCGTTGGTATCAGATAGAGTTTTGGCATCAACGTATTTAGATAAGCTTCCTTGGTGATTCTAGTAATGTAGCCAATGATTAGAACTACTGGGTAGAGTTAATAAATGTTTATGAGACTTATAATCTTAATAAAGATATAGACAAAGTATGTCTCCAGATGTGCACATCCAGGAGGATAAGAGGAGTAGAAATTTTTCTATATGACATATTATTGAACCTTTCCAATCCCATGGGTTCTAAAGTAGGAATAATACAGTACTTTGCTTTTATGCAGTGGTTCTCAAAGTGTGGTCCTAGCATCACCTGGGGTTTTATTAGGAATGCAGATTATTAGGTCCCAACTCAGACTTACTGAATCAAAACCTCTGGGGAGTAGTACCCAGCAATCTGTGTTTTAACCAGACCTTCTAGAGATCCTCATGAACTCTAAAGTTTCAGAACCATCAGCATAGAGAGTTGTGGGAATAAGAGGCAGCCTAGGAAAATCCTACCACAGTGCCTGGTGCATAGTGAGAGTCTAAAAAGCAAATTACTCTAAAGATAGCGTGCTTGACTTTTTGGTAGTCTGAATATGGCTAGGAGCTCGACTTGACAGCAGTTAGCTACTCTTCCAACTCTAAGACTATTATTCAGAAAGCAAATGGAACTCAAGTGAGCAATCTTAAAGATGTATCAGAAGAACCAGCCCAAATCACCGTCCTTCCACTATGGGATGTAGGCGCTTTCTTTTCTGAAGACCTACGTTGTCTTGTTTCTGTGCTATCCAGAAGTGCCTCACTGAGTGACAGACACTGCAGCTCTCCCACTACGTGCTGAACAGCTGAAATGCAAGGAGAAGCTGTTTACCCATAGAGGAGTACAGTCCCTCGAAACATCAAAAAGGAAAAGGACAACTAGAGAATTTTTTTTTTAATGAATGTTTTCTCTTTTAATAGAATTTGTTGCAGAGAGTATTTTAAAAGATTCCATACCATGAACCCATAGCGCTGTTGGGTTTCCTGGTATCCCAAAGCCTGGACTGTATATAGATTTCTAAGTTGGATGCTTTTTAATTCCGGTTTCTCATAATCTGTCCTGCACATACTTTTAGGTTAGTTTTTAGTAAATCGTAGTCTTACAAGTGTTTCCTTCTCAGAAATCCTTAACAGACCCTCACTGCATGCATGTTAACATTCAGACTCTTTGCTTTGCACTCAGTGTGCAACACACGTAAAAACTTATTTTCACATTGCTTTAATTTTTATAACCTACCAGTGTTATTTTACATTCTTATGTTTATGCTATATTGTAACATGCCCTTTATTTTTTAGGTCCTGATCTGATTTCTTTTTATTTTTTATTTTTTATTTTTTTTTACCATTATGCGTTCATTTCCCTTTCTGCCTAGCATGGGCTTGCTCTCTTCATCATAATGTTCAGGGACAATTTAAATGCTCCAGTATAGCTCCCGTGCTCTTCCAACTGGAAGTAAGATTTCCTTTGTCCCAGCTTCCAGAAGAGTATGTTTGTAGATCTTAGGAGATTTTATCTTGTGTTCTCCTTACCTGTTTACACATTTCCCCCCTCTACTTGACTGAAAATTTAGGGCAAGTAACAAGTCTCAGACACTTCAGTAATCCACCACTTCAAGCACCTTCTCTGTTCTGACTGTACTCCATCCCTCTACACTAGCTTTTATGTCACTTCTCAGTGTCAAATCTGGTTCTCATTCTTCTGAAAGTTAGACTGCTAATTAAACTGAAGAGAACTAAGATAGAGAATAATTGCTAAGCAGGACAAAAATTGTGTGTCAAAGCCAATTGCAAAGCAGCAAAATGCCAGCTAATACAGATCTTCCTTGACTTGCAGTGGGGTTACATCCTGATAAACCCATTGTAAATTGAAAATATTGTTAAGTTGAAAATGCATTTAATACATGTAACCTACCAGATCATATAGCTTAGCCTAGCCTACCTTAAACATGCTTGGAATGCTTACATTAGCCTACAGTTGGGCAAAAATCATCTATCACAAAGCCTATTTTATAATAAAGTGTTGAATATCTTATATAATTTATTGGACATTGTACTGAAAGTGAAGAACAGAATGGTTATTTGGGTTCAGAATGGTTGTAAGTGTATTGGCTATTCACTCTTTTTGTGTGTATATATATATTTTATTAAAGTATAGTCATTTTACAATGTTGTGTCAATTTCTGGTGTACAGCATCATGCCATGTGTAGCAACATGGATGTACCTGGAGATGGTCATTCTAAGTGAAGTAAGCCAGAAAGAGAAAGAAAAATACCATATGATATCACTTATATGTGGAATCTGAAACAAAACAAATGAACTTATTTACAAAACAGAAACAGACTCACAGATGGAGAAAACAAACTTATGGTTACCAGGGGGACAGTGGTGGGAAGGGATAAACTGGGAGTTCAAGATTTGCAGATACTAACTAATATATATAAAACAGAGAAACAACAAGTTTATACTGTATAGCACAGGGAACTATGTTCAGTATCTTGTGGTAGCTTATGGTGAAAAAGAATAGAAGTAGGCTGTTCACGCTTGTGATCCTACAGCTGGCTGGGAGCTGCGGCTTGGTGTCGTCACCCAGCGTCATGAGAGTATTGGGCTGCACGTGGAAGCCCAGGAATAGATCAAAACTCAAAGTACGTTTTCTACTGAATGGCCACCACTTTTGCAACACAGTCGAGTCAAGAAATTAAAGGTCAAATCATCGTAAGTTGGGAACTGTCTATGTTTTTTAAGAGTGCTGTAAAATTGTGTCCTGTTAACTTAACGTGTGTGTTTCCTTTCTGCAGGTGACTTCCTTCCACCCCCACCTCCACCTCTCGATGATCCCATTGCTGTTCCTTCTGGCTCTGGAAACTTCCCTCCTCCACCACCCCTTGATGAAGGTGCTTTCAGGGCACAGGTAAGATCTATGGTTAAAGTCGTGTGTTTATAAGCCATGCTAGGAATCATGAATTCTGAGATTGTTTCTGTGGTGGATAAACATTTATCCAGAGCCTACAGAGAGCTTTACAACTCACAAAGAGCTAAGGCACTTTAATGCAAAATGCCCAGCTCAAGCTTCTCAGAGTTCTGCCGGCTTGCACTCTGAAGCCTTGGAAATCCTTTTACCTACTAATTTTATTTTGAAACTGAAAGCCATTCTTTAGGAATGCCATTTGAGAAGTTCACATTTCCTTGTTTTCCTGGGGACACACAACCATGCTTTTTCATTGCCTCTTTTTCTCTATCCATAAACGGTTGCATTCTAAATGAGTAAGGCTGGTATTTTAAGGCTCTGATTGGTCACAGTGGGAACTAATTGGTCAGCAACATATTTTTAGCGGAAGCAGCAGCAAAAATTCTTAGCGTTTCTCCTCTGAGTGAGGTCAGGGATGCACAGGTTAGTGTATATTGACACTTAGAAGTATTGTGCTCCAGGGAGTGTTGACAGCAAAGTGCCTCAGAGCTGGAATCAGAAGCAACAGTAGAAGTTCTCAGCCTGTGATCATTTAGGGGCACCGGTGACCAGCAGCCACTGTTTAGGCAGCTAAGTACCAGTTATGTCAGGAAGGAAAATTAAATAATAATGTCATAGAATTACTGTCATATTTTGGGGGTGATGATGTTAATGAAGATACGTTAAAGAAGAAAAATTCTTAGTTTTTAGAGAAATGTCAGCAGGATTTGTGAATGAAATGGAATAGTGTCTGGTACTTGCTTCAAGATAATAAGAATAGGGAGCTACTGAGTGAGATTATAGGTGAGAAAAGATTCGCTATGAGTTGATAATTGTTGGGTGCATGGAGGTTTATTTCCTTATTTGTCCTACCTCTGTATGTGTTTAAAATTTCCCAGAGTAAGTTTTAAAGAGGAAAAGCCATAGAGAGTAACTGCTGTAATAGTTCAGTTGGTTGTCTGGCTTTCTTTCTCCTAAATTTCAGGGTGGGGCAGACAAAGGAAGAAAGGATTCATTCATTCATTCAACAAATAGAAATTGTATAGCGAAAAAGACAGACAGGGTTCTGCTTTCATGAGACTCATATGTTAGTGGAACGAGTGGAACAAAATACTTGCGTTACAAAATCCATCAGAATGAGATCAAGGCCATGGGTCATGAGAAGGGGAAAGTGATATGGCCTACTGAGGTTGGGCATGAGGCGGTGACATCTATACACAGACGTGGAGGATGAGAGGAAAGAGCAAGCCATGTGGATTTCTCGGGGTCTGTGCTTTCATCTAGCAGATCTTAAGCAGTAGAGTAAGCTTTGGGTATTATCGGCCAGTTGAAAGTCGGAAGTTCCACTTATAACCAGTAAGCAGCTCCAGTTCAGTCTTCTAAAGGCTATTAAAAATGGTATGTCTTAGACACATATGTCATAAATTTTCTACCTTTTATCTTGCCATAGCTGTGAAGATCAAAGATCATGTGCCAGAAATGGACAACAATCCTACAACATATCTACTTATTTTATGCATTAGATAGATCCCTTGTCAAATAAGAATTACATGATTGATTTCCATTGTTTTCAGTCATTTTTTAAATTAACAGTGAAAAAAGAAAAAGCTTAAAGCTTGCCTTTTATATTTCTGTGCTCTCATTTTGTTGGGAGCTGTTCTTTGCCATTGTTTAATTTATACAGTGAAACACTACTTTGTCTTCTCTCTTGAATCGTTATGGGACTATTTTGTAAGCAGTTAAAATCTTGAGTTTTAAAAATTCACTTGACCTTGTGACAGAAGACTTATGTTTGTATACTGGTTGAGCCGCTCATTCTAGTCACGTGATCTTGAGCAGGTCACACTAAGATGCAGTTTCCTCATAATTAAAAATAAGGTAACTGTATCTAATAGTTACATGAAATAGAGAGGGATTTGAAAGTGCTCAAATATAATCACTGTACAGATATTTTGATGTTATAATTGTCACCGTATAAAAATAACGGCTGTAAGAATAATAAAAAGGCTTGCCAAAGGGTTCCAGTAAGAAAAATTCAAACATGGGGCTTTCATAAAATTGCAAGAAGTCTTTTTCTGTATGGACCTTGTCCTGGTAACTATATCAAAACCGTGACTTTGTTTTTGAAAAAGAAGGAAATAAACAAAAATCCTGTTGCCATGTTGGCTTATGTTCTCTGTAAAACAGAAGGAAGAAGGATAAAAAATAAAATAGAGTTTGCCAAATGGAAAAGGGCAAATCTGGTAGAAGAGGCGTGTTGTTCTTGAATATATGGAAGATTGTTGGCAAGTTCAAAAGAAAATGGTCACATCCTTTCCTTGGGTGGGAGTGACGTGATGTGCTGATGGCGTGGCCCCACGCTGGCCGTATTCGCACCCCCTTTAACCATGAGCTACAGTGGAGCCCAGGGTAATCTAAGCACTGGAGAGAATCCTGCACTTTTTCCCCTCAGCCATGGTGAAAACTCTTGTTGCCAAGCCCAAATTATAGCTGGTAAATGTGTGTTTTTATGTAGAAGTCTGTTTATATTTCCAGCCAGATTTTCAGGTCAGAGCCAGAAGTACGTCTACTAAGTGTGAGTATAAGAATTATAAGATCTTCAGAGCTGAAAGGGGCCTAAGGGATCATTTAGTCGAACCCTGGCACCGGTCATCTAGTTACAGCCTTCGCAAGTACTTGCCAAATGAGTTAATTCCCTCTCTTTGCAAATGGGGGAACTGAGACCCAAGAAGGGGTCGACCCTGTAGCTTCTGACAGAACTCTTTGGAGAAATCTTATGTCTCGATCTGTTCTTCTGCTCACTGGGCACATGGTTTTGCTTCAACCCTTTCAAGGCTCTGAGGTTCAGACGAGGGGGGACATGCTTTCGTTTGGAAGGCCCAGGTGTTGCTTGACTCAGTATTTTTGATATATGGTGTAAACGTTTTCTCTTATCAAAAGGCAGATATCTAGTGTCAAGAATTTTTGTTTTGAGAATTCTCATTTTTATAGGAAAGTATGAATCTTAGGAAATCAAGGAGACATTTTCTTTTCTGTCAGTATCAGTTTGAACTCAATGCCTGTCAGGTCTGGGGTGACCATTTAGTAGTTACTTCATTCAATCACGATAAACTAAATACCTTCTACAAGTCGGGCACATGTGCTCTAGGGGTGATAGCCTTCCCACTTGGCATCACAGATCTAGTGCCCTGAGTCCCAGCTTTGGGGCTATTAGACTTGTTCAAGCTGATGCCACAGTTGGTAACTTTTTCCTATTTCAGCCACCCAGTGGGCAGGTATATAGCCTTGTTTAAAGTACTTTCAAAGGGGGAGAATACGTCCTAGAATTTCAGGTTTGCAAGGGAATTTGAGAGCTCATAACTCAAGTGCCTTTCTGTTGTTTGAATCTCCTAATTCTTTTCAATTTAGTGAAATGTTTCTGGGTGACTATTACTGGTAACGCAATGTTGAGGGATAAGCAGTGGATCAGATACAACCTCAAGTTTGGGAGATGCATATATACACAAATTCCAAATTAAAATTAAATTATACCTTAGTCATCATGCTTAGCTTAGAAGCACAATCTAAGTCCTATATTGTGGTGGAAGGTGAGGGAAATAAATTAACTATGACTAGAGACATTAAAGAAGGAATCTTGGAAACAGTTTCAACTAAACTGAAGTTTCATGGCTAATTAGGATCTTAATTTTCAGATGGAGGATAGACTTTAGGCAATAAATTAACAAGAATAAGAATACAGAATATTCCTAAGAATATTCTGAAATCATTCCAGTGTTTGCTATTATTTTAAATATAAGGTTGACATACATCCCCAGATCTGTTGTCGGATGTCAAGTGGTGCTTTTAACGCACCATCAGACAAAATAAACTGCCCTTGTGGGAAGCCCTATGCAAATAGCTCTGAGTAGTCTGGTAGACTTCCTTGAGCTCCTCCGGAATTTACCTGCTGATACCTGATGGCTTTGAGTTCAAATGCCCCATACTTAACTTCCTCTTTTCATGACATCTTTGCTTGACTTCTGTTCATGAGCTCTAGTTGACGCCTGCTCACTCTGCTTCTCTCATTGTGACCCAGGTTGCTTGCTTTTATGTGTCTGTAGTCTTACCCTTCCTGTTCTCATCTCCTTTTCCATTCATTCCGGCAGGGTGGCTGCCTTTGCTAGTCTGACTCCAGCCCCTCCTTCTCAGAAAACAGACTGGTTTGTCCATCTCTGGTTACTCCAGATATTAAAAACCTCTTTTCTCTTGTTGAACTGAGATTTGCCCCTTTATAACTTCCTCACACTGATTTTCTTCCTACCCTCTGAGAGAGTGATACACATTTAAAAGGACAGTCAGGCCAGGTGAGAGAGATGTGGTAGTGGCCTCAAGGGGGTGGGCAGTAAAAGCTCCTGCAAGAGGTGAGCTTTTCTGAAGAGAGAGTGAAAACGGTCATGTGAGCTGGGCACCGACCTTGGGGAAATACCCAGAGTTTGTTGAAAAGAGAAGAAGAAAAATTTCTGAATTCATTAATGGTTTGTCTTCAAATCAGTCTTTGAAAGTTTGTAGGCCAACTCATTTCTATTCTTGTGAAGACATTTCAAAGCTCTTATTTGTGTTGGGTGAACAGTGGATTATAGATTATAGTGTATTAATCCACTTACCCATTTTATGTATTGCATGTATCAATAGCAGCTTAAAAATCTACTGATGTTTTAATAGAACTGGCCCTGGAATCTGTGTCTTATGACTCTTAACTAGTACCATCATGGTAATTGGTGTGAAATGATAGCATTTTACTTGTAGACATAGGGAACTCAGGCCCACAGCCATGGGCATAGTCATTCACGAGCTTGCAGAAAGAGGCAGCTGGCCTTGGTTTATATGGTTTGGATGTACCCCACCAGAGAGGTCACCCCTTCTTCTGCCTGGTAGTGGGGTGAGGAAGGAAGAAGCTGGCTGAAAAAGGAGATCCAGGCTATAAA